GTAAAAATAAATGTTTATATAGTTCAGGCCTTTGTGTACAAACCAAGATTCCCTACTAGGTGTGAACTGTCCCTGTAATGTGGAGGATGAGATACATTGCAGGGAAACAGGAGCAAATTGGATCGTGCTTTGCTGGGTTTTTGTTTTGCCTTCCTCTGGATCAACCGTGGGTGTAGGAGTATAACTTTTTCTTTTTTTTTTTAATGGTTGAGCTGGATGGACTTTTGTCTTATTTTAGCCAGACTAACAATGTAACTATGCAACAATGTTGGTTCTACGTACTGTCAGTGTATGCAAAAATGTTTCAGTGCAAGCAGGCGGGGGGTAATAAGGGGCATTACCTTGCGCAGGGATCTGGTGGGTAATGCAGGCGCTCCGTCCCCCATAGAGGGATGAAAAGCATCAAAGTGCAGAGAGTAATGGCCTTCAGAGGGAGAAAAAAGGGGGATGCAGAAAGAGAGAAGAAGTAGGGAGTGAGGACAGCGAAGGTGGAAGAGATGGAGGGAAGGGGTGGGGGTGGTGGGGGGGGTGAGAGGATGGAGAGAGGAGAGGAGAGAGAGAGAGAGAGAGAGAGAGAGAGAGAGAGAGAGAGAGAGAGAGGAGAGAGAGGGGGGAGAGAGAGGGGGGGAGAGAGAGAAGGGGGGAGAGAGAGAGAGAAAGGGAGGGGGGAGAGAGAGGAGGGATGGAGAGAAAGAGGCATGGAGAGAGAGAGGGAGAAAGAAAGAGAGAGAGGTGAGGGATGAATGGAGAGAGAGAGAGAGAAGGAGAGAGGAGAGAGGGATGGAGAGAGGGGGGGAAGGGATGGAGAGAGAGAGGGGGGTGGAGAGAGAGGGAGGAGAGAGAGAGAGAGAGAGAGAGGGGGGGAGAGAGGGGGGTGGAGAGAGAGAGAGGAGGAGAGAGGAGAGGGGGGGAGGGAGAGAGGAGAGAGAGGCGGAGATAGAGGGGAGGGATGAAGAGAGAGAGAGAGACAGAGAGGAGAGAGATGGAGAGAGGGAGGGGGGATGGAGAGAGGGAGGGGGGTGGAGAGATAGAGATAGATAGAGAGGAGAGAGATGGAGAGAGTGAGGGAGGATGGAGAAAGAGAGAGAGAGAAAAGAGAGAAAGAAAGAGACGGAGAGAGGAGAGAAGGAGAGGGGAGGAGAGAAAGAAAAAGATGGATATGAGAGTTAGAAAAAGAGAGCAGAGAAGAGTAGAGGAGAAGAGAGGAACGGAACAGAAAGGAGGGGAAAAGAGAGAGAGGAGATGGAAAAGGGGCAGAGATGATGGGAGAGAGATGGAGAACAGTGGGATCAATAAGGGGGGAGATGAGAGAGATGGAGGGGGAGGGATAGAGAAATGCAGAAGGAGATAAAGAGAGACGGTGAAGGTCGAGAGGGAAGAGAGAGATAGAAAAGAGGGGGTGAGAGAGGTGGAAAAGGGGGAAGGAAGGGACAGAGAGAGAGAGAGATAAAGGGGGGGGGGGGACACAGGAGAGAGAGATTGAAATGAAAAAGAGAAGAGGAGAGAAGGGTGAAGGCATGAGAGAGATTTGGAGAACGGGGAAAAGATGAAGGGATATAGAATTGGGGAAGTGGGAGAAATAGGAGGGAGGGGGGAAGAGATAGAAACAGGGAAAGACAAAGGGAGAAAGATGGAGTAGGCGAGTGATGAAGGGGAGACAATGGGAGAGGAGGAGGTAGAGAATACATACAAGGGAAGAAATAGGATTGGGGACGGGGGAAAGAAAATGAGAGTTTAAAACTTCCAAATTAACACAATTACAATATTTTTTTTTATTACCCCCCCCCCCCCCCCCCCCCCTCCCCCCACTACATCCTTCTACTCCATCACACAGCACGTACCCGGGGTCAGGTTTTCTGGGGGGTCCCGGTGGGAGTGAGAACGCTCCCGACATGAGTTGTCAGGAAAGGAAGAGATTCTCTGGTCCCGCTGTCCAAACTCCAACTACTTGGTGCGGCCAGGACTGGCTCAGGACAATACATCACAGTGACCAGGAGGTGGCGACAGCAGTACAGCCAGGACACCAAAGAGTGAAGCAAACGTCAGGTATAGTAAAACAATAATAAAAAAAAAAAAAAATGCAGTCAGTACAAGTACAGATTCTGAAGAGATCTTAAAGTAATTCTCTGTTTTAAAAGTGTATTGCTGTATCAGACTCTTCCTGTAATTACAAATACAGTAAAAAAAGAGTGCAAAGAGCTATGATGATAAGAAAGATTCGGCAACCCGCAGAAGACGGATTTCAGTTTATAAAGCTGAAGGGCTGAGCTGTGTCTTAGGCCTGGGATTAGAGATGCATTTTATTTTTGGGTTACCATTGGGGGTCAGTTTGACATTTAAGGGTTCAATTAAGTTAGGTTGAGGGTTGGGATGTCATTTAGGGTTAGATTTTGGGGTCAGGTTAAAGGTTGGGGTCAGAGTTAGGTCGAAGGGTAGGTTGTGGTTAGAATCAGGGTCTTGATTAAAAGTTGGTGTTAGAGTTGGGGGTCAGGTTGAAGGTCGGGGGTTAGAGTTAAGTTGAGAACTACATTGTGATTTAGGGTTAGCATTAGGAGGTAGATTAAAAGTTAGGGTTAGACTTATGGGTCGGGTTAAAGGTCAGGGTTAGAGTTGGGGGTCAGGTTAAAGGTTGGGGTTAAGTTGAAAACTAAGTTGTGATTTAGGGTTAGAGCTAGATTAAAAGTTAGGGTTAGTGTTAGGGGTCGGGTTAAAGGTTAGGGTTGGAACCTACGGTCAGGTTAAAGGTTAGGGTTGGAATTTAGGGTCGGGTTAAAGGTTAGGATTAGAGTTGGGTTGAGAACTAAGTTGTGGTTTATGGTTAGAGCAGGGGTCTCCAAACTTTCTAAACAAAGGGCCAGTTTACTGGCTTTCAGAATTTAGGGGGGCCAGACTGTGGCCATTGGTAGTAGAAACTGTCCTGCTTCATTAGGAGTAAACAATGCATCTTTGGCATTAGGAGAGGAATAGCACCCTATTCTTGGTGTAAGTTGGAGAAATAGTGCCCTATCATTGGTGTCCATGGGTAGAATAGAGCTCCGTTGTTGGTATCAGTGGGAGGAATAGTGCCCCATCATTGGTGTCCGTGGGTAGAATAGAGCCCCGTTGTTGGTGTCAGTGGGAAGAATAGTGCCCCATCATTGGTGCCCGTGGGTAGAATAGAGCCCCGTTGTTGGTGTCAGTGGGAAGAATAGTGCCCCATCATTGGTGCCCGTGGGTAGAATAGAGCCATGTTGTTGGTGTCAGTGGGAGGAATAATGCCCCATAGTTTGTTTCAGTGAGAGGAATAGTGCCCAATTGTTGGTGTAAATGGGAGGAAAAGTGCCCCCTAGAAGGGTCCGTGGGTAGAATAGAGACCCGTAGTTGGTGTCAGTGGGAAGAATAGTGCACCATGGTTTGTTTCAGTGAGAGGAATAGTCCCCAATTGTTGGGGTGAATGGAAGGAACAGTGGCCCATCGTTGGTATCAATGGGAGTAATAGTGACTATTGTTGATGTCAGTAGCAGGAATTATGCCCCCTTGTTGGTGTCAGTGGGAGGAATAGTGTCTTGTATCAGTGGGGGAAAAAGTGCCCCAAGGGCCGGATAAGGGCAAGCAAAGGGCTGCATCAAGCCCCGAGGCCGTAGTTTGGAGACCACTGGGTTAGAGTTAGGGGTTGGGTTAAAGGTCGGGGTTAGAGTTAGGGGTTGGGTTAAAGGTTGGGGTTAGAGTTGGGGCTTGAATTAAAGGTTGGGGTTAGAGTTAGGGGTTGGGTTAAAGGTTGGGGTTAGAGTTAGGGGTTGGGTTAAAGATTGGGGTTAGAGTTGGGGCTTAGGTAAAGGTTGAGGTTAGAGTTAGGGGTTGGGTTAAAAGGTTGGGGTTAGAGTTGGGGGGTTAGGTTAAAGGTTGGGGTTAGAGTTGGAGCTTAGGTTAAAGGTTGGGGTTAGAGTTAGGGGTTGGGTAAAACGTTGGGGTTAGAGTTGGGGCTTGGGTTAAAGGTTGGGGTTAGAGTTAGGGGTTAAGTTAAAGGTTGGGGTTAAAGTTGGGGCTTGGGTTAAAAGTTGGGGTTAGAGTTAGGGGTAAGAGTTAGGGGTTGGGTTAAAGGTTGGGGTTAGAGTTAGGGGTTGGGTTAAAGGTTGGGGTTAGAGTTACGGGTTGGGTTAAAGGTTGGGGTTAGAGTTGGGGGTTAAGTTAAGGGTTGGGGTTAGAGTTAGGGGTTGGGTTAAAGGCTGGGGTTAGAGTTAGGGGTTGGGTTAAAGGTTGGGGTTAGAGTTAGGGGTTGGGTTAAAGGTTGGGGTTAGAGTTGGGTTAGGTTGGGGTTAGAGTTGGGGCTTGGGTTAAAGGTTGGGGTTAGAGTTGGGGCTTGGGTTAAAGGTTGGGGTTAGAGTTGGGGCTTGGGTTAAAGGTTGGGGTTAGAGTTGGGGGTTTGGGTTAAAGGTTGGGGTTAGAGTTGGGGCTTGGGTTAAAGGTTGGGGTTAGAGTTGGGGCTTGGGTTAAAGGTTGGGGTTAGAGTTAGGGGTTGGGTTAAAGGTTGGGGTTAGAGTTAGGGGTTTAGTTAAAGGTTGGGGTTAGAGTTAGGGGTTTAGTTAAAGGTTGGGGTTAGAGTTGGGTTATGGGCTAAGATGTCATTTAGGACTTGAGTTGGGGTTAGGTGAAAGTTTAGGGTTAGAGTTCCGTTGAAACAAACCAATCTACTCTTGTTCTGGTGATAACTTGTCCACCATCCACATCCTGAAAACTGGATGCCATCTCAGTGTCTATAAGGAGCCTGTGGGGGTAGTAAGTCCAACTGCCTGCGTATTTATAGAGCATAAAGTGCATAGAGGTGGTCACCTTTCTCCGCCACAGAGAGGTTGGGGTCACTGCAGGGCTTGCAGGGGCCAAGGACTTGCTGGAACAGAGCCCGCGGGTAGACGCAGCGCTGGGACACCACCAGGAGAGACAGAAAAGAAAGAAGGTTGAATCCATCCTTCCAGCCGACATCGTCCTTTAAGCAAGGCTTATGTACTATTGCTGTTCTATACCTGTGCATTGTCGGCACCAGTTTGATACATGGCGCTACTGGGCCGGTCCCGTGGTGCCGGAAGCAGCATCACCAAATCTCGCGAATGTCTGTATTTATCAGGCAGGGAGGGAGAACCTGTGCAGGAGGAATATGGAAAGTTTATGACCTCAGCATTCCACATTTAAACAATTCACGCAGCCATCGCAAATAATCTCTATAATGTGTTCAATATAGGTATTTCCTATGCTCATTAGCTCTACCTGGTGGCCATAATGCAGTATTTTCCTAATTCTGGAATTTCAGGAAAATATTGCATTATGGCCACCAGATAGAGCTAATGAGCATAGGAAATTCACACATTATAGAGATTATTTTCCTGAAATTCCAGAATCAGGAAAATACTGCACTGTGGCCACTAGAGTGAGCTGATGAGCATAGGAAATACACATATGACAGAGATTTACACTGGCCAGGCAGTTTGCCCGTTATTTCTTCACCTTTCACTCTACAGAAAGATATTTTAAAAAAAGGCAAAAAACTCACATTGCACCCTCTCGCAGTTCCCACTTCTACATACCTCGTGTGCTAGAGGGGGCGGAGTTTACAAGCTGAGATGGTGCAGAATGGGTGGAGCTGAGGCTGGAGGAGGAGGGACTTGTGTAGGATGAAGATAACGCAGAAACGTTAGTGATGGATCCAGCGTTGAGGGAGTGGGGTAGCAGCATCTGAAAAAAAAAAAACAGTCAGAATGGAAGGATGACAGGATGATAGAATGTGTGATAGAATGGAAGGATAATGGTGGATGACAGAATGGAAGGATGACAGAGGATGGCAGAATGGAAGGATGAGAGAGGATAGCAGAATGGAAGGATGAGAGAGGATAGCAGAATGGAAGGAAGATGGTGGATGAAAGAATGGAAGGATAAGAGAGGATGACAGAATGGAAGGATGACAGAGGATGACAGAATGGAAGGATGAGAGAGGATGACAGAGGATGATAGAATGGAAGGATGAGAGAGGATGACAGAGGATGATAGAATGGAAGGATGAGAGAGGATGGCAGAATGGAAGGATGACAGAGGATGACAGAATGGAAGGATGACAGAGGATGACAGAATGGAAGGATGAGAGAGGATAGCAGAATGGAAGGATGAGAGAGGATGACAGAATGGAAGGATGAGAGAGGATGACAGAATGGAAGGATGACAGAGGATGACAGAATGGAAGGATAAAAGAGGATAGCAGAATGGAAGGATGAGAGAGGATAGCAGAATGGAAGGATGACAGAGGATGACAGAATGGAAGGATGAGAGAGGATGGCAGAATGGAAGGATGAGAGAGGATGACAGAGGATGATAGAATGGAAGGATGAGAGAGGATGGCAGAATGGAAGGATGACAGAGGATGACAGAATGGAAGGATGACAGAGGATGACAGAATGGAAGGATGAGAGAGGATAGCAGAATGGAAGGATGAGAGAGGATGACAGAATGGAAGGATGAGAGAGGATGACAGAATGGAAGGATGAGAGAGGATGACAGAATGGAAGGATGACAGAGGATAGCAGAATGGAAGGATGAGAGAGGATAGCAGAATGGAAGGATGATATTAAGTCTTAACCAGAAGCCAACAATACAAATATAACATCACAGCCGTTAAAGTACTGAGTCCAGTGCCCAGTGTCTGGTGTCCGGAGCCGGGTGTCCGGTGCCCAGTGTCTGGTGTCCGGAGCCGGGTGTCCGGTGCCCAGTGTCTGGTGTCCGGAGCCGGGTGTCCGGTGCCCAGTGTCTGGTGTCCGGAGCCGGGTGTCCGGTGCCCAGTGTCTGGTGTCCGGAGCCGGGTGTCCGGTGCCCAGTGTCTGGTGTCCGGAGCCGGGTGTCCGGTGCCCAGTGTCTGGTGTCCGGAGTCGGGTGTCCGGTGCCCAGTGTCTGGTGTCCGGAGCCGGGTGTCCGGTGCCCAGTGTCCGGTGCCGGGTGTCCAGTGTCCAGTGTCCGGTGCCCAGTGTCCGGTGCCCAGTGTCCGGTGCCGGGTGTCCAGTGTCCAGTGTCCGGTGCCCAGTGTCCGGTGCCGGGTGTAAATGGTTAGTTTGTGTTTCAAGTAAAAGAATAGAAACAAAGTATAACTTTGTTACTCTTTATTGCCTTTGGTGTCCCCATATGGGAGATTCACCCTCTTCATTTGGATTTAGAAACTTTGCACCCTCGGAACCCCAACCCCACAGCTGATCTGGATGAAGACAAAATAACTATTATTTGTCCGATTTGCTGTAACAGAGCAAAAAGCAAAAAGTGCCCCCCCCTTCCCTTCCCCCCTTCCCGGACCAACAATGGATTTCTTATCAATATTAGAGCCACTTGTATCTCGGAAACATAACTAGCGCTTATCTGAAGCAATATACTGAGCTGGCTAGACTCAGCTCCTGTGCAAGTCTATTCCTCACTTTCAAAGCTCTTACTATAAAGAAGCCTTTCTGTATGTGAAGGTAAAACTTTCCTCCAGGCTCAGAGTGCCCCCTTGCCTTTTGTCATCACCTTAAAGAGGAAATTTACTCAAAAATCTGAAAAATGTGATGCTGAGCCTCCGTGATTGAAATAACTGAAATCCAGTGAATAAAAGGGGCGGGGCTAAAGTAACCGCTTATCGTCTTCTCACACCCAGCTCCGACTCCCTGGCGTTCCATATTAAACCCGTCCTGGTTTTGTAATCTGAAGTGGATATTTGGGATGTGAAAGTCACCTGCATAGAGTAGGGGTCCTCGTTCTCGCTGTCCACCGCGGTGGGTGTGGTCCCAGTGTCGCTGGAGGTGTGAGATGAGAGCGAGGAGGATGAATGGCGCACGGAGCCCAATACCACAAGCGGGCTGCAGATGACAATACCACATGAGGTCACACACTGCGCTTGCGGAAGTAAGAAAGCGCGGCGATTATTTTGTGAGCGGTACCTGTGTCTGTGGAGGAGTCTCATGCTGTCGTTGTTGAGCGCTCCGTGCGATAATAGGATGTTCCCGCGAGGCAGCGGCGTACAGGACGGGTTCATCTTCTCCAGTGTAGGGAACTCCTGGGGGGCGTACAAGAAAAGCTGCAACGCTCAGCACAGGACGCATTAGTTGCAATGTGCGCATTGGCAATCTCACACTGAGGGGCGGGGCTTATTTTGGGGGGACGGATTTTGAGTTTGATGGCCGGGAGAAGGTCATGGATGCAATGCACGGCCTTCGAACTTTGGTTAGCAGCCATTGGGTGGCCAATAATGGGGTCCAGGGGCGGACTGACCAGTTGGGCACTTGAGCACCGCCCGAGGGACCAGGGTCAGTAGGGGGCCCCATGAGATGCCCCTAGTACCTTTCATAGGCTTTTTTTGGGTGTGGTTTGAGTGTGGGTGAGGACATAGGGGCCCCATGATCCCCTATTACCTGGGGGCCCCATGAGATGCCCCTGGTACCTTTCATAGGCTTTTTTGGGTGTGGTGTGAGTGTAAGTGAGGACACAGGGGCCCCATGATCCCCTATTACCTGGGGGCCCCATGAGATGCCCCTGGTACCTTTCATAGGCTTTTTTGGGTGTGGTGTGAGTGTAAGTGAGGACACAGGGGGCCCCATGATCCCCTATTACCTTGGGGCCCCATGAGATGCCCCTTTTACCTTTCATAGGCTTTTTTGGGTGTGTTTTGAGTGTAAGTGAGGACACAGTGGCCCCATGATCCCCTATTGCCTGGGAGCCCCATGAGATGCCCCTGGTACCTTTCATAGGCTTTTTTGGGTGTGGTTTGAGTGTGGGGGAGGACACAGCGGCCCCATGATCCCCTATTGCCTGGGGGCCCCATGAGATGCCCCTGGTACCTTTCATAGGTTTTTTCATAGGCTTTTTTGGGTGGGGTTTGAGTGTGGGTGAGGACATAGGGGCCCCCATCATCCCCTATTGCCTGGGGGCCCTATGAGTTGTCAGTCCGCCCCTGATGGGGTCCCTATTATATGCTAGGCCCCTTCCTATAAAGGAGGGTGCACAGAGTAGCCCTAAGGGTCTATTTATAAACAATGAGCTGTGTAAACACCTCAGCGCTCGCACAGTTGTGGCAAATAATCCCCCTAATGTGTCTAATATGTTTCTTTTCTTCTGATCGTTGGCTCCACCTAGTGGCCTTAATGTGGCATTTTCCTGAGATTTCCTGAATATTTAAATCAGGAAAATACCACAATACGGCCACTAGATGGTGCTGGCGATCACAGCCAATACACACAGTGGACATTATACAGGAATTATTGGTGACAGTTGTGCGAATGTTGGAGCGAATTTAAAAAAAAATAGATCGAATCATGTCAATATATCTGATGCTGCCGTAATAAAAGGAAAAGCTGGCAAACGTCATAGGAAGAGATTAGGGTCAGTTAAGAAACTCGTACGTTAATTCTGATTGTTAGCTCTTTAGGCAATCAACTCCCTTGCTGCCGTCCAAGGGTGGCTACACCGCTCCTCCATAGATACAGTGGGGGAATGTAGCCACTACAGGACAGGAAGTGTGTTACTGGCAGGATCATCAGGTGACAATAAAAGGGAAAAATGCCTAAAAATGGAACACTAAACCACAAGGGCTGGTAAGCTTCATGACTGAAAGAACTGAAATCCAATGAATAAAAGGGGCGGAGCCAGGGACAGTCAGGCTGGGGAGGAAAGGGCTACATGATGCTGGATCTCCTCCAGCCAGGAAATGAGGCGGAGCTCTATCTGACTGGCTGCAGCTTCTAATGCACATTGTGAGGAGCTCCCAGTGTGCAGTAGCTGTGCAAGACTGGAGGGGAGGAGCCGGTACACCTGTGCAAGACTGAAGGGGAGGAGCTGGTACACCTGTGCAAGACTGGAGGGGAGGAGCCGGTACACCTGTGCAAGACTGAAGGGGAGGAGCTGGTACACCTGTGCAAGACTGGAGGGGAGGAGCCTGTACATCTGTGCAAGACTGAGGGGGAGGAGCCGGTACACCTGTGCAAGACTGAGGGGGAGGAGCCGGTACACCTGTGCAAGACTGAAGGGGAGGAGCCGGCACACCTGTGCAAGACTGAATGGGGAGGAGCCGGTACACCTGTGCAAGACTGAATGGGGAGGAGCCGGTACACCTGTGCAAGACTTGAGGGGAGGAGCCGGTACACACCTGTGCAAGACTGAAGGGGAGGCCAGGGGGGGAGGGGGTAAAAATTATCTCCAATTTCAGCCAGAAAGTTTTATAGACAGAAGGAAATTGAAAAGGTTTTTACCTGGTATAGACTGGAGCGCATGACCTGGAACTGGTCTACCAGCTTCTTGTGCAGCGGCCGCATCTCGGGGTGTACGCAGCGCTCGTGTACCGCCAGCCCCACCCCCAACACGTGTACCTAGAACATGGCATGAAATCAATTTCAAATTTTCCTCCAGCTGCAGTTTGCCACTCCATTACATCTCCTCATTATATACCTGATCCTATATACCCCCCCCCCATTACATCTCCTCATTATATACCTGATCCTATATACCCCCCCCCATTACATCTCCTCATTATATACCTGATCCTATATACCCCCCCCCCCATTACATCTCCTCATTATATACCTGATCCTATATCCCCCCCCCTCCATTACATCTCCTCATTATATACCTGATCCTATATACCCCCCCCCCTCCATTACATCTCCTCATTATATACCTGATCCTATATCCCCCCCCCCCCCCCCCCCATTACATCTCCTCATTATATACCTGATCCTATATCCCCCCCCCCTCCATTACATCTCCTCATTATATACCTGATCCTATATCCCCCCCCCCCTCCATTACATCTCCTCATTATATACCTGATCCTATATCCCCCCCCCCCCCCCCTCATACATCCTATATCCCCCCCCATTACATTATTATACCTGATCCTATATCCCCCCCCCCCCCATTACATCTCCTCATTATATACCTGATCCTATATCCCCCCCCCCCCCCCATTACATCTCCTCATTATATACCTGATCCTATATCCCCCCCCCCCCATTACATCTCCTCATTATATACCTGATCCTATATCCCCCCCCCCCCCCATTACATCTCCTCATTATATACCTGATCCTATATCCCCCCCCCATTACATCTCCTCATTATATACCTGATCCTATATACCCCCCCCCCCCATCTCCTCATTATATACCTGATCCTACCCCCCCCCATTACATCCTCATTATATACCTGATCCTATATCCCCCCCCCCATTACATCTCCTCATTATATACCTGATCCTATATACCCCCCCCATTACATCTCCTCATTATATACCTGATCCTATATACCCCCCCCATTACATCTCCTCATTATATACCTGATCCTATATCCCCCCCCATTACATCTCCTCATTATATACCTGATCCTATATACCCCCCCCCCATTACATCTCCTCATTATATACCTGATCCTATATACCCCCCCCCCATTACATCTCCTCATTATATACCTGATCCTATATACCCCCCCCCCATTACATCTCCTCATTATATACCTGATCCTATATACCCCCCCCCCATTACATCTCCTCATTATATACCTGATCCTATATACCCCCCCCCATTACATCTCCTCATTATATACCTGATCCTATATATCCCCACCCCCCCCCCATTACATCTCCCTCATTATATACCTGATCCTATATCCCCCCCCCCCCCATTACATCTCCTCATTATATACCTGATCCTATATCCCCCCCCCCCCCCCATTACATCTCCTCATTATATACCTGATCCTATATCCCCCCCCCCCCTCCATTACATCTCCTCATTATATACCTGATCCTATATCCCCCCCCCCTCCATTACATCTCCTCATTATATACCTGATCCTATATCCCCCCCCCCCATTACATCTCCTCATTATATACCTGATCCTATATCCCCCCCCCCCATTACATCTCCTCATTATATACCTGATCCTATATCCCCCCCCCCCATTACATCTCCTCATTATATACCTGATCCTATATCCCCCCCCCATTTACATCTCCTCATTATATACCTGATCCTATATACCCCCCCCCCCCCATTACATCTCCTCATTATATACCTGATCCTATATCCCCCCCCCCCCATTACATCTCCTCATTATATACCTGATCCTATATACCCCCCCCCATTACATCTCCTCATTATATACCTGATCCTATATATCCCCCCCCCCATTACATCTCCTCATATATACCTGATCCTATATCCCCCCCCCATTACATCTCCTCATTATACCTATCCTATCCCCCCCCCCATTACATCTCCTCATTATATACCTGATCCTATATCCCCCCCATTACATCTCCTCATTATATACCTGATCCTATATCCCCCCCCCCATTACATCTCCTCATTATATACCTGATCCTATATCCCCCCCCCCATTACATCTCCTCATTATATACCTGATCCTATATACCCCCCCCCCATTACATCTCCTCATTATATACCTGATCCTATATATCCCCCCCCCCATTACATCTCCTCATTATATACCTGATCCTATATCCCCCCCCCCATTACATCTCCTCATTATATACCTGATCCTATATCCCCCCCCCCATTACATCTCCTCATTATATACCTGATCCTATATCCCCCCCCCCATTACATCTCCTCATTATATACCTGATCCTATATACCCCTCCTCATTATATACCTGATCCTATATCCCCCCCCCCATTACATCTCCTCATTATATACCTGATCCTATATACCCCCCCCCATTACATCTCCTCATTATATACCTGATCCTATATACCCCCCCCATTACATCTCCTCATTATATACCTGATCCTATATACCCCCCCCCCATTACATCTCCTCATTATATACCTGATCCTATATACCCCCCCCCATTACATCTCCTCATTATATACCTGATCCTATAATACCCCCCCCCATTACATCTCCTCATTATATACCTGATCCTATATCCCCCCCCCCATCTCCTCATTATTACCTGATCCTATATACCCCCCCATTATCTCCTCATTATACCTGATCCTATATCCCCCCCCCATTACATCTCCTCCTCATATTATATACCTGATCCTATATACCTGATCCCCCCCCCCCCCATTACATCTCCTCATTATATACCTGATCCTATATACCCCCCCATTACATCTCCTCATTATATACCTGATCCTATATACCCCCCCCCCATTACATTACATCTCCTCATTATATACCTGATCCTATATACCCCCCCCATTACATCTCCTCATTATATACCTGATCCTATATCCCCCCCCCCATTACATCTCCTCATTATATATACCTGATCCTATAATCACCTACCCCCCCCATTACATCTCCTCATTATATACCTGATCCTATAACCCCCCCCCATTACATCTCCTCATTATATACCTGATCCTATATACCCCCCCCATTACATCTCCTCATTATATACCTGATCCTATAATACCCCCCCCCCCCATTACATCTCCTCATTATATACCTGATCCTATATCCCCCCCCATTACATCTCCTCATTATATACCTGATCCTATATCCCCCCCCCATTACATCTCCTCATTATATACCTGATCCTATATCCCCCCCCCATTACATCTCCTCATTATATACCTGATCCTATATCCCCCCCCATTACATCTCCTCATTATATACCTGATCCTATATCCCCCCCCCCCATTACATCTCCTCATTATATACCTGATCCTATATACCCCCCCCCCCCCATACATCTCCTCATTATATACCTGATCCTATATCCCCCCCCCCCCCCCCCATTCTCCTCATTATATACCTGATCCTATATCCCCCCCCCCCATTACATCTCCTCATTATATACCTGATCCTATATCCCCCCCCCCCCATTACATCTCCTCATTATATATACCTGATCCTATATCCCCCCCCCATTACATCTCCTCATTATATACCTGATCCTATATCCCCCCCCCATTACATCTCCTCATTATATACCTGATCCTATATCCCCCCCCCCCATTACATCTCCTCATTATATACCTGATCCTATATCCCCCCCCCCCATTACATCTCCTCATTATATACCTGATCCTATATCCCCCCCCCCATTACATCTCCTCATTATATACCTGATCCTATATCCCCCCCCCCATTACATCTCCTCATTATATACCTGATCCTATATCCCCCCCCCATTACATCTCCTCATTATATCCTCATTATATACCTGATCCTCATATATATCCCCCCCCCCCCCCCCATTACATCTCCTCATTATATACCTGATCCTATATCCCCCCCCCCCCATTACATCTCCTCATTATATACCTGATCCTATATCCCCCCCCCATTACATCTCCTCATTATATACCTGATCCTATATCCCCCCCCCCCATTACATCTCCTCATTATATACCTGATCCTATATCCCCCCCCCCCATTACATCTCCTCATTATATACCTGATCCTATATATCCCCCCCCCATTACATCTCCTCATTATATACCTGATCCTATACCCCCCCCCCCCCATTACATCTCCTCATTATATACCTGATCCTATATCCCCCCCCCCATTACATCTCCTCATTATATACCTGATCCTATATACCCCCCCATTACATCTCCTCATTATATACCTGATCCTATATCCCCCCCCCCCCCATACATCTCCTCATTATATACCTGATCCTGATCCTATATATACCCCCCCCCCCATTACATCTCCTCATTATATACCTGATCCTATATCCCCCCCCCCATTACATCTCCTCATTATATATACCTGATCCTATATACCCCCCCCATTACATCTCCTCATTATATACCTGATCCTATATACCCCCCCCCCATTACATCTCCTCATTATATACCTGATCCTATATACCCCCCCCCCATTACATCTCCTCATTATATACCTGATCCTATATATACCCCCCCATTACATCTCCTCATTATATACCTGATCCTATATATCCCCCCCCCATTACATCTCCTCATTATATACCTGATCCTATATACCCCCCCATTACATCTCCTCATTATATACCTGATCCTATATACCCCCCCCCCCCATTACATCTCCTCATTATATACCTGATCCTATATACCCCCCCCCATTACATCTCCTCATTATATACCTGATCCTATATCCCCCCCCCCATTACATCTCCTCATTATATACCTGATCCTATATCCCCCCCCCATTACATCTCCTCATTATATACCTGATCCTATATACCCCCCCCATTACATCTCCTCATTATATACCTGATCCTATATACCCCCCCCCCCATTACATCTCCTCATTAT